CGGCTCCTACTCGAAAGCCTGGTGGAAGAGCTCCGTCTTACAGGCCCTGCGGAACTGCACAAGGTCCCGCAGGGCCCTGATCTCCTCCAGGAGCTCGTTCCACCAGATAGGAGCCACCACTAAAAAGGACCTGGCCCTTGTTGTTGCAAGCCTGGCCTCCTTAGGGCCCCGGGTCACCAGCCGGTGTTGTGACCCCGACCAAAGTGCTCTTTGGGGAATATGTGGGGAAATGCGGTCCCTCAGGTATGTCGGACCCTGGCCATGTAGGGCTTTAAAGGTAAGCATCAGCACTTTGAAGCGAATCCGATATGCTATAGGCAGCCAGTGCAGCGCTTTCAGCACAGGTCGGGTGTGATCCCACCTAGGGGCACCCACCAACAAGTTGGCCGCAGCATTCTGCACCAGCTGCAGCTTCTGGATTTGCGACAGAGACAGCCCCATGTAGAGAGTGTTACAGTAGTCCAGGTGACTGTCACATGGATCACTGTAGCCAGGTCACTGCGGTCAAGGAAAGGAACCAATTATTGCCGTATCAGCCGAAGATGATAAAAGGCCAATCTGGCAGTGGCTGCCACCTGGGCCTCCATCGTTAAGGTGGGGTCCAGGAGCACTCCCAAGCTCCTAACCTCCGAAGCTGGCACCAGAGGTGCCCCGTCGAAGTTCGGGAGCGAGAGCCCTAACCCCAATCCGGTCCGACTCAAGCACAGAACCTCCGTCTTCGCCGGGTTTAATTTCAGCCTACTCAGCCTGAGCAGATCTGGGTTGGAGTCCGACTGGCTGCCCAACATCAAATAGAGCTGGGTGTCATCTGCGTATTAATGATTTGGAGTTGGGAGTAAGCAGTGAAGTGGTTAAATTTGCAGATGACATGAAGTAGTTCAGGGTGATGAGAACCAGGGAGGATTGTGAGGCACTCCAAAGGGATCTGTCAAGGATGGGCAAGTGGGCGTCAGCGTGGCAAATGGGGTTCAATGTGGCAAAGGCCAACACTGCTGGGGATTATTAGGAAGGGAATTGAAAACAAATCAGCCAGTATCATAATGCCCCTGTATAAATCGATGGTGTGACCTCATTTGGAGCACTGTGTACAGTTCTGGTAACCACACCTCAAAAAGGATATCATAGCATTGGAAAAAGTGCAGAAAAGGGAAACTAGAATGATAAAGGGGTTGGAACACTTTCCCTATGAAGAAAGGTTAAGACTCTTGGGGCTCTTTAGTTTGGAGAAACGACAGCTGAGCGGTGACATGATCGAGGTTTATAAGATTATGCATGGGATAGAACAGGTCAAGAAAGAAGTACTTTTCTCCCTTTCTCACAATACAAGAACTTGTGGGCACTCCATGAAATTGCTGAGTTAGAACCGATAAAAGGAAGTACTTCTTCCCCCAAAGAGTGATTAACACATGGAATTCACTGCCACAGGAGGTGGTGGCGGCTACAAGCATGGACGGTTTCAAGAGGGGACTGGATAAACATATGGAGCAGAGGTCCATCAGTGGCTATTAGCCACAAGGTATAGATAGGGGCTCACAGGCTGGGGCAGGTGATGCTCTGTATTCTTGGTGCTTGGGGGGGCGTCAACAGTGGGAGGGCTTCTAGTGTCCTGGCCCCACTGCCGGAGCTCCTGATGGCACCTGGTATTTTTGGCCACTGTGTGACAGAGTGTTGGACTGGATGGGCCATTGGCCTGATCCAACATTGGCTTCTCTTATGTTTTTATGCTGCCTCAGCCACCATCCAATAAAAATCTTTGGTTGTCATTCCCTTCGCATACTGCTGCTTGTAGCTTGCCACCTTCCTCTCCCAATTACCTTAACTTAAAGATTTCATTTTATTTTTGAAAGAGCCATGCTTGGTTCTGTACTGAGTCATGTTTGACTCCAGAGCCATAGGTTGCAGACCACTGGACAAGGACACTAGTTTGATCACTGAATGTCTGCTCAATCACGGATAGGGTATAGGGAAAGTGTTGGGATATGTGAGCAAGTTCCTTTCCTGATGTCATGAAAGAATTAATGTGTTTACTTATGCATGCTAATTGCTTAGTCAGTTTGCTTAAGACCAATAGAGTAGCTTGCATGTCTTACCTGCCAGAGTTTAGGTGACAATATGCATAATGAATAGGTATCCTTGACAGGGTTGTCCATTGGCTGATCAATAGATCTGAAGATGTCCTGGGGTGGAGGCTTAGAAAGTTTTACTGTTCTTTGTTCTAACTCTCACCTTTGGCTCAGACATGAGGTGAAAGTAAAAGAGACAACATGTAGATTAGAGAAGTAAGACAGGATGTTTTTGTTTTAAACTCCCAGTTCCTTTTCCCCATGAGTAATCAGGAAACTTTACTTTTTAAAGATAATACATATGTGTGCTGCTTGCTTCTTTGCTACCTTAAAGAACCCAAGAGAACGATACGTCTTCTGTGCAGGCATGCGTGTAACCTGTGCAGCTTTTAAAGTATGGCACTGATTTTATAAAGGTGGGCCAAGCACTGTTTTGAAAATATGAAAAACTGCATGCATTGATTTACATAAGAGATTCTGTTCCAGTTGAGTTAGGATGAAATTCTGTTGACATGATCATATGAAATTTAAGGCACTGGGCTTAGGAGGGTGTAACTCTCTTTAGGAGTGCACTTCATGTTGTCTCTTGGTAACATTAAGGTTTTGATGCTGTCCTGATCCGAGTTGCCCAGGCAAGCCCGATCTCGAAAGCTAAGCAGGGCTGACACTGGCAAGTATTTGGATGGAAGACCTCCAAAGAATACAAGGGTTGGGAGGTGAGAGGCAGGCTATCAAGTCACTTCTCTGAACGTCCTCCATGCCCTAGTAGGAGTTGTCAGAGGTTGCCATGACTTCCAGGCACAGGCATACACATGCACTCGCTCTGTCTTACACACGCACAAATGCAAAAATAACCCCCCCAAAAATGAGATTTTTGGTGCTGTGCCACCCACTTAGGCCCATCATGATCAAGGCAATAGAACAAGCAAACTGAAGCAAGATTTAAGTTGGGTTCAAGGCCCTTAATTTCTGCCCCTAACCCTAATCATATGGTCTTAGTTTGTTTCACTCAAGAACTTTGTACAAATCTTGTCATTCAAGGGGCAACTATCTTGAAATTGATACAGCTGATTCTGTAATCAGCCAGCAGTTGTGTTTAACTGTGTAATCTGATGGGGTTTTTTTTCTTTTCCTTTTGCAGTGCATTTCTGGCTTTAAAGTGGCTGCAATTGCAAAACCCAGGCTGAATCTGACTGGCAGTGTGCTACATATCTGCCTGTTGCAGGACTGCAGCTTGTTTGCTAATATCAACCATGACCGAGGGGAAGGATTGGCCAAAATCACGTGTGGTTTCCACATGGTTTGGAAGGATAGGCTGAATGTGGGAGTGTTGGTCTGGGCAGAAGTAGCATCTGTCTTTGCTAGTTATATGTTTGGGGGCTTGCCTCTCTTGGAGGAACCACAAGGGGGGAGAGGGTTCTGGTGTGATATTAGTGAAACTGGTGGTAGGAGTATAGCAGTAGGAAGGAGGTCATTTTGGGGGGGTGTGGTTTCTTGGAAGGCTGCTGTCTGGTAGAAAGCCTTCTAGAAAGGGGCCTGGATAAAAGAGCGTTCAGCATCTAAGCATGAATCTGATCACTTGTCGGCAAAACGATCATTGAGCACTACATGGTAGATCAACTTTATTAATAAAATTCACGGTGCCTGTCCATGTTTGATACAACTGGAAGAACTATTCATTGTTGGTTTTATAGGAATATTGAGACACAAGCCTCTGGCAGATTTGTGGGAATGGGGTCTGACTTAATGTCGCAGCTCAGCTGATTTCCCAGGCTCCTTGGGAAAATCTGACCAAGTGGGTGTGGTACAAGATATTTTTCTGTAGGCCTTACAATCAAGTGAAGTTCTCCTATCCATGAGATTCTTCAGGTGCCTGTTAGAAGCTGCTTGGAGAGTCACACAAGCTCTCGACACTTGTGCTCAAGTATTCGGTTAGCAAAATATCCAGATCTTTTACAATAAAATGTTTGAAATACCTTAGTTGTGTGAGGAATTTTCTTTTGATGTAATATTATCATTATTCCACAGAAATGATGTGCACTTTCCGTGAGATTAACTGAAAAGTATACTCATCCATACAGCACTGGTTAAGTTTTCCATGCTTCAAAAATCATATCTTCATGTCCTGATGATAAGCTTGCTTCAAGCAGTCCCTCTCCACCATAGAAATAACACAGTACTATTAGCATTACTGTATACAGGAAGTAGAACACGAGTGTCTCCAATGCATTTTCTGATTGCTGAGGCCATAAGATGCTGAAAGGATATAAGAGGAATTGCACTTCATCAGCCCAGCAAAAAAGATGGCCATGTGGCCATGAGGAGGACTCCATCTTTGATAAATCAGAAGAATTGCTGTAGAAAATCAAATACTAAGTCATGGTGAGGCAACCAGTTGCCCCATGAAAAACTGCCATACAGCCTTGTGGCTACATGAGATCTCGCCCAGATTTCCAGTATCATAAGAAAGATGACTGCTTGTGAGACTTCAGCAAACTGCCTGAATTCTTGGAGATCAGCCCATCAGATTGGGCATCTAGTCACTTCCCGAGTTAATCGCAAAGAATACAGTCTCTTTGTTAAAATCAAAATAGTCCACAGAGCATTTCCTGGTGGAATAACTTTTGAGCTCCTTCAGTTCTCACGAGACTGCAAGAATCAGTGCAAAAATATGGGTTAAATGTTGCAGGTTTCTCAGTAAGGTTTTAGGTTAGGCTCATCCCCCAGACCTGCCTCTGCTGCCTAAGACTATGCTCACTCTCCTTGCTTGGCTTCTCCCCCCCCCCCCATCTGTTCTTCCTCCCTCCTTGGACCTCCTGTTGTGCGCCCTGGCCCAGCCAAATCTGTTCTTTTCAGCCTCCTGGATGTTTCTTGTTCTAATTCGGCCACAGTGCCTTCTCACAAGTGGCCTCTGAACTACGAGATCCCACTTCCACCTTCCTTCTTAGTCTGATTTCATGCCTTTCTCCCTCTCGTGTAACTAAGCTCCCTGTAGGTCCAGTCCCCTTTAGGGACATGTATGCATAAATGCTCTTCTCTTGGAGGGGTTTCCTTCTGGACTAGCCCTGGGCGAGTAACATTGGGGTGCTATAATTCTTGATGACGTAAGGAGTTACAGCAACTGGTATGGGTTTTTTTGTTTGAATATTACTGTCACTAAAATTGCCTTTTCCCCATATTTCTTAGTAATTACTCTGAACAAAGGTACCTCTCTTACTAGGGGGTAATGCTTCAGCACGCTTCTGTGTATACTCATGTTTTTGATCCTTAAATCTGGGTCTGGGTATTTGTATGTATGTGGATGCTTATAGGTATAAGATTTGTTTTCTGAGTAGCAGAGGGGACTACTTCCATTTTTTCTTTTTTTCTTTTTTTAGATATAATCTTTTATTGGTTTTTTCGCACCTCAGCAAGACAAACACCCATATAAACAAAGACAACATAAGCAACCACCACTCACCCCCACCCATACCACTGCTGTTTTTCTCCCATATCACATTGAACAAAACATTTTGGTTTACTATATTTTCTATATCCTCAGAAATTATCAATTTCCATTACATCTTAACTCAAAAAGCTTAATTACCTTTCATCTAACACTTTACCAACTAAATCTGTTATGTCCATTCATTCTGGAATTAAGGAAACTATATGTATAACAATCATCTGGAATATTCATCAGTTGCAAATTCCATCTCATTATTGCTTCCTGACCTAAGTATCATAGCCCAGTTTATTTACCAATTTCCCCCTGAATAAAATTCTTTAAACAATCTAATTCATTTTATATTCAGTCTAGCCTCATAATTCCCAGTTAAATATTACATACTTAATAATTTAAGGTCTTAATTACATTTCATTCTAACGTCATTTATTACCTAACTCATTTATTACCATTCAGCCTGGATCTAATGACAATATATAGAAGATAAGCCTACAGGTTTACGAGAACTAACATTCCCTCCTGTTACCAAACTCAATCTTCAGCCTACCTGTCATAAGCAAAATCATTTACTTAAGTTTCCACTAGTACATTTTTCTTCTAGAGTCTGCTTCATCAAGATACACATAGCCACTACACCTTTCAAGCATTTCATCTTATCATAGATATGGTATACTTGCTAGCAAAATATATCTTTGTCACCAACAATCATCACCGTGGCCCTATATTTTATTTCCTTTTTAATTTGATTTTCCCTATTTTCTTGTAAATGTCGTAGGTCTCTGTACTCCTTTTGCAAAACTTCGAAAAAGTCTCTTCTTTTTTTAATTGGGCTCTCATTCATTTGTTTACAAGCTGCAGATCTCTTTACAGCTTTGTTTATTTTCCTCTTCTTTGCTAGTTCCTTTTTTCTCCAGGATGGTTTAACCCTCCATTTTTTTAACCCTCGTGTTTTGGATTTTTTTCCTCTTTCTGTAATGGCTTTTGGTAAGTCCACATCTCTTATCCGTTCCTCCATAAACAGGTGTTGCAAATCACACTGCAGTTCCTGCTGTTCTTCCTCCTGTTTACACTCCTGCCAGTCATTTCGTCTTTGTAATCCATGTGTTTGCACTTTATTACTCTTGTCCTCTACAATTAAAGTCTGGGAATTGCCCAAGATCTTATCCCAAACCAGTTGCAATTCTTTGTCTAATTCTTCTTTCAGAGTTTTTTTAAACTGTTCTGACTTAAGCTCCGAAATTATTGCCTCGCGAAGAGTCGCTGCCGCCATTTCCTCATTAGCTTAGTTCCACTTTCTTTCCGAAACTACGGCAACCGTTTTAATAGTTATTATTCATTACCAAGAAGGAGAAAATGTTGCTTCCACCAGGAGCAAATATACTCTTACCCCCTCAAAGTTTTTCACCATCAGTTCCCAGGAAACGTTTCCCGGCCGCTTGTCTGCACCAATTGGGATATCCGCAGGCAGGGTGTAAGAGCTCCGTTTCTTTCCAGTAACATTATTTCCGACTCAAAGTCCTCCAATGTGACATGAGACACAATCCTCAGGGAAAAATAAAATTCAAACCACGTCCCCAAAGGAAAAAGAAAAAAAAGACAAACAAGCTAAAAGCCCGGCTGGCTGCTGCTATGCAGGATCATGACGACCATGACCTGCTCTCCCGACGCTCCTGCTTTGAGGCAAGCCGGTCACACACTCCTCCTTGCCAGGGAAAAGGGGGGGCCGGCAAAGCCTCCTACACTCCGACTCTCTCCAAGAGTCCGAGCGGGGCCTCCCCGAATCCGGGGGGCTTCGGAAAGCGTGCCTGAAGACCAGGCGTCTCGGGAGCTCCCGAGAAACACGCCTGTATTACAGCGCTGCTGACTACTTCCATTTTTTCAATGGAATGAGACTCCTGGGTATGAATGCCTAGCACATCGTTTAGCACTAGCTCAATTTTTAGCAGTATCTCACATTTTGCATTCAGAACTATTGGTCCCAAGCTCTTATGAAAGCATCAGAACTGTTGCATGGTAATGGGAATGCTGTAAAGCAGGAGTTTCAAACCTGCAGCCCGCAGGCCAGAACTGGCCTGCCCAGGCCTTTATTCTCCTTCAATGGGGGAAGGCATCCACACTGGTTAGGCCACACCTCCTCTTGCTCCAGGCAGGGCTATGCACATTTTTGAGCATGCCCGGTAGGACAGCGTGAGTGTCCTTCCAGTTTGATAGCCCTGCCGCTTCAGGAGGGTCGTAAGAGCCTAGCTCCACTCCCTACTTCAGTTACAAAGTAAATAAGAAAAAAGAGAGGTTAAGAATTTTTTAAAAGAAGACAAAGAGAAGTTAAAGATGGACTTGAAGTCTTCAAAAAGGGCTCCGGTCACAGGACCCTCAGGGAAAAGGGAGCCTCTCCGAGGCAAAGGGAAAGGGCTGCAGGATGCTGTCTCAGCATCGGGACGAGGCGAAGAGCAGGCAGGTGCCCCTGAGGCCTCGGGGAATCACCTAAGCGTAAGTGGATCAGTGCCGCCAATGTCCCTGTCAGCCCCGGAGGCCTCCAGGCAGCCAGAAAGGGAGGGGGAGGAGAGGAAGGCCGTTAGGAATGCGGCTGAAGGTTCCATGGCAGCAACCGTCAGTTTCCTGTGGCCCCACCAAACACCTTTAATCCTTCCCCACCGGTTCAAGACCCCATACTCAGCGGAATAGCCTATTATGGGACGCCTTTCATCCCAGCCTTTTCCACCATGGCAGGACCCGCTACTGCAGCCAGTGCAAGTATGGGGGCCGTGCCTCCCCCCCCCCACTATGTTTGGTCAGCCCCCTACAGACTGGAATACATGGAGAGGGGTCGGTTGGGGGAAAAAAGAGAGACTGAGGTCAGGTCCAGTCAGAGAGGATGTTCTCTCAGTGCAAGCCCCTGTGGATCTCAACTTTCCAGGAGCGGTAGCCCAGGCTCCTTCAGTATATCAGCTGATGTCTCTGGATTGCCTACAAGGAGGGGGTTGCCTAAAAGGAAGGGGGGAAAGAGGTCCTTTGGTAAAAAGAAACCAGGCAGTGATGGTTCTCCGTCTTCACCTCCCCCTAAGAGACAACAGCTAGAATGGAGAGCAAGGAGGCTGACTAGTAGACATGATTCAGAGGGGGAAGGGGCCCCATCCCTCATTTATGTGACAATCACTGGCTCAGACAGAGAGGAAGGTGAAAGGTCTGGGGAGGAACAAAAGAAAGCTCTACCAGACCTTTCCACAGACCACTTTCAGAGACTTCTTAAGAAGGTGGTCTCATCTCTTAACTACAACATAGAGACAGAGGTACAAAAGACCTCCAAGACCACTCCTGATCTGGATACCTGAGGCTTCAAGTAGCCAAATAAACAAATGGTTGTCCTTTTCCTGAAAATTTTGAGGAGGTTGTCAGGTCGGAGTGGGCTGTGCCTGGGGGTGGTTCAACCTTACAAACCATAGCCAAAAGGTTTTATGTCCTTCTGCATAAGATCATGGAGGACTTGAAGGCACCTTTAGTGGATACTCCAGTTGTGGCACTACA